GGATTGTTTAGTCTCCAGAAGACAAGAATGAGGGGGGATTTGATAGCTGCTTTCAACTACCTGAAAGGGGGTTCCAAAGAGGATGGATCTAGTGGTACCTGATGACAGAACAAGGAGTAAATGTCTCAAGTTGCAGTGGGGGAGGTTTAGGTTGGATATTAGGAAAAACATTTTCACTAGGAGGATGGTGAAGCACTGGAATGGGTTACCTAGGGAGGTGGTGGACTCTCCTTCCTTAGAGGTTTTTAAGGTCAGGCATGACAAAGCTCTGGCTGGGATGATTTAGTTGGGGATTGGTCCTGCTTTGATCAGGGGGTTGGGCTAGATGACTTCCCGAGGTCCCTTCCAACCCTATTATTCTATGATTCTATATTCTATGATCTCCTGATTTATATGGTTAAATATCAACATTGCTTAAACACTAACAATTCTTCATATTAACTATCTTTTTGCTTTGTTTTTTAAGCAGCATCACAGAAGGTGACACGACAAATCCACCTGAGAGTGCCCCTGTTTCTTGCTACCCTTGCAACATGATGCAAACTGAATCAAAAGAGCCTGACAGCAAGATGCCTTTTGGAAGCCCCTCAGCTGAAGCTCTGCCTTCTAGGTTGTCCTGGCCAAACCATTTTTCTGGAGCTGCCGAAGGCTTAAACAGGAACGATTTTCTGCTGGATCCAAGCAGGAGTTATAGTTATCCAAGACAGAAGACTCCAGGCACACCAAAGAGAAACTGTCCTGCCTCTTTTACTTTCGACTTTGATGGGTGTGAACTCCCTGCTGGGTACACGCAGTTGGCCACAACAGAGTTCAGCAACACCATCTCCAGTTGTCCAAAGTCAGCAAGCTACTCTTTAGAATGCACTGATGAGAAAAATCTGGCAGTCAGCAATGCAAAGCAGAGTCATTCGTGCCCTGCCTTACCTCCTCGTGTGCCAAAATCGAACGATGAGAACCCAGTTCTAGACACTTGTCCTCTGCCTCTGAAAATAGATGGTGCAGAGGAAGAATCTCAGACTGGTTCACCAGACCTCTCAGAAGATCAATATCCTGTTAAAAAGGGCATGCAGAACGTTTTCTCTGTTTCTTACCCATTTTCGTCTCCCCTTCACCTTCAGTTAGCACCAAGGTCTTGTGGCGATGGCTCTCCCTGGCTACCACCTACAGACCTTTCTGGGCTCTCAATAGAGGAAGTATCTAAATCTCTGAGGTTTATTGGTTTATCAGAAGATGTCATATCATTCTTTGTTACAGAGAAGATTGATGGCAATTTACTCGTTCAGCTTACAGAAGAGATCCTTTCTGAGGACTTTAAGCTAAGCAAATTGCAGGTTAAGAAAATACTACAGTTCATTAATGGCTGGCGGCCGAAGATGTAGTTCAGTGATTCTGACTGGTGTTTAATTAAACTGTGTGAGAGACGTGCTAGAAATGCTGGGGCTAGTACGTCGTTTCCTGTTTTTGCACTAAAAGCCCTTTCTGTAAATAATAGTGGAAGAAATTCTTACTATGCAGATAAAGTTTTAGAGTGGTGAACAGATTTTTATATGTCAATAAAAATGTAGAGAACCCATAGAGGTGTGCCTTGTGCATCACTGAACATTCAGCAGCTGCTAAAAACTGGACGTTAAGGGAATTAATTTTTACTCATGTAGTCTGTCAAGACATAGTATTTATTACTGAACAATTAATATGAAAGACCACACACAATTCCAGTTTACAGTTTTGTGTTAACAGCAAAAAATGCATTTCTTCTGAGGTTATTTCTGTTTGGATTATTGGCAACATGTCATGACTTAGTTTTTCCTTTTCTACTGTTAATAAAGGATATGATCAAACCTATAAAATACCATTTTTAACACTGTATCTGAACTTTTTAAAGAGTTTTAAAACATCTTTTGACATGCCACTAAAACAGCATATTTTGCAGGATAATTTTACCAAAATATCTTCATGACTACTTAGATAAATTTGCCATGTTACTGCTTCTGAGTAAAACACTTATATATGAAATAAATAAATAAAGCTTAGTGTTCCTGAAAATAAAGAGCCTGCTTATCTGGTTGACCATGGGGGAAAAATGTTTGCTACTCTAAACCATTCTGTTCTTGTCGTAAACCAATGAAGAGTTCATGATCCGTAGATTTCAAAAGGTGCTTAGTTATCAAGTGAGTCACTTATTAGTCTGACCACCAGGTCATGCTGATCTCTCATGGGAAAGGCAGCTTACTTCACCAAATCAGTTCACATGTTTCTTTGGCAGATCCCTATGTGGCACGTAGCAAGTTGAGCCTTTTGTTAATTCACCCATTCCATGTCCCCATCACAAGGAGAAAGAAACCCAATCTGATTAATCTTACTGTTCTGGTGAGGTCTATGAACCCATCCGGACTCTGCAATGAGATTTATGCAGGCAGATAGTTGCACTTGTACAGAGTCCCCTTGAACTAAATCATTGCTGAGGTACAAAAGCACACTAACTCCCTGTAACAGTGCAGACATTGAAATGTAGAGAGAGGATTAAATATGCTAGGTGAGAGTCTGTGTTGTCTCTCTAAGGCCTTGTCTACACTAATGCTGTAAGTCGATGCAAGATACAGTAGTTAAATTACTTAAGTTACATAACTTACATCGACATAACTTACATCGACTTAATGCAGTGTATATACCACGCTATGTCAGTGGGAGATGCTCTCCCGTCAACATAGCGTCCACCTCCAATTGAGGTGGATTAATTAAGTCAACAGGAGAGCACTCTCCCATCGACTTATCGTGTCTTCACCAGCCCACTAAATTGATGTTGCAGTGCTGATTTAGCCCGTAGTGAAGACAAGCCCTAAGACACAGCACAGAACTAGGAGAATTGGGGGAGGATAAGCTGACTTACAGCCACTTTTTCAGCCCTTCCAATTCTGGGCTGCTTCGGGGACCAGAGTGAACCTGGCCAGTAACTTAGGCAGCCCTCAGCAGCCTGTCGCTGTCTGCCTATGGGCAGCAGAGCTGCTTCTGCCCTGCATAGCCCACACCTGCCTGCCTTGTTATGCCCTGTTTTGGCACACCCTTATGCCAGGATTTGCAAGGAGATCCTCAAAGACAGCCTGTGGCTAGCGTCCTCAATTCCTGCACTAGGGGGATTCATGCCTAGCCAGACCCAGAGACATTAGAGTGCCTTAACATCCGGCTGGCTCCTTCCCCTGGGGTACAGCTGCCTGAGCAGGGGGTGAGAATGTTTTTGACACACAGAAAATTAACTTTTGCCATTGGTGGGAGAATAGTGGAAGCACTGAGACTAGGCAGAGAGCAGACAAAAGTTTGAGAGACTGATTTAATATGTCTTCTCAATCACTCTGAGGCACAAAAAGGGGGATACCTACAAACAATCAAAATGTTTCCTGTGACCTGGACAAATCTCAGGTCATGCCTTAGTGCAAAAGGCAGGTTTATTCTTTGTATTGCAGTAGCATCCAGAAATCCCAGTGGGGGACAAAGGCCCTATTTTGGTGGGTACTAAACATCCATTTAACAAAAAATAAATAGGAATTCCCTGCCCTAAAGAGAGTTTATACTTGTAACATTTGACAAATGGCAGATTGATATAACAAATCAATGACTTTCCCTAGCTGTTTTTTGTTGCTTCCGTTAATTAGGGTTTTAAAATATTTATTCAACATTTAAATTTACTAATTATATTTTTAAAATGCAAGTAAGGCTAAATTGGATAAACTCAAATACTGTTCAGAGTTAAATGCTAGTCTGTCCGTAGGGCTGTGTAGGGTGTAATTACTATTTGTTAGCCCTAACTAAATCACATGGACATATTCAACATTGTGTCAAGTATCAGGGGGTAGCCGTGTTAGTCTGTATCTACAAAAACAACAAGGAGTCTGGTGGCACCTTAAAGACTATCTAGTTTGCATATCAATTCCAGCTCAGCAGTCTCTCGTTGACCAGACAGGTTAAAGTGTTCTCCTACTGGTTTTTGAACACTTTAACCTGTCTGGCCATTCAGTGACAGACCTGCGGGTGGCTATCTTACAACAGAAAAACTTCAAAAAACAGACTCCAACGAGAGACTGCTGAGCTGGAATTG